GGATAGCTACATCAAAGACAGAAGAAAATGAATCAAAACAGAACAAAGCTGGAAGGAAACCACCAGTTAGTGAGAAGGTTTCTGGTTATGAATGCTGGGAATAGAAGTTTCAGGTTACTGCTCCATCTGCAGTCCTCACCTGTTCTCACAGATCTGGTTATTGACCCTGAAATGGTTTGGTTCTTTTGTACTGTCTGGGCCCACAGCTTCTTTAAAGAAGTGTTTTCATGAGTAATACTCAGTTCTGCTGAAGTACATCTTCAAATGGAGGCCTGTCTTCAGTAAATGCCTCAAGAGCATGCACTGAAAACTTTAAGAGTGTGTTTGATTCTTCCTGCAGTGAGCGAGGTTGAAAGGATCAGGTGTAACTTTGTGGACAGAATGCCAGAAGCAAGCCTCAAACAGCTCATCGATGCCTTACGAAAAGATGGTGTGCTCAATAATTTGCAAAAAGAGGAGATACTGCAGAAGAACCCAGTTAGAGCCGACAAAGCACGTGATCTCCTGGACTATGTGAAGAATCAAGGAGAAAATGCCTGTAAGAAGATGATAGAACATTTTAAAGCCATAGATCCAGCCCTTTCCTCTGATCTGGACTTTTCCCCTGCTCATCCTCTTCTGAAAGGTGAGGCCTCACATCCTTTAACAGAAGTTTCTTTGAACAGTCACTGTCTTTCTCTGTGAGACCTTTTCAGCTTTTGAGGAAAATAAGTTGAATCTTCCATGTGTTTCTTTTTCCATTCAGAGTTTTATTTGGACTGTGAGCTCAAACATAAGTCTGCTATGGAGAAGAAGTTCAAGAGTGTGTTGTGTTTGAGGGCATTGCTAAAGCAGGAAAGCAAACCCATTTGAATCAGATCTACACAGAGCTCTACATCACAGAGGGGGGGGCTATAGAGCTCGATGAGGAACATGAGGTCAGACAGATTGAAGCAGCTTCCAGGAAAGCAGACAGACCAGAAATAGCCATCAGACAGGAAGACGTCTTTAAAGTACCACCTGGAAGAGACCAACCAATCAGAGTAGTGCTGACAAAGGGAGTGGCTGGCATTGGGAAAACAGTCCTAACACAGAAGTTCACTCTGGACTGGGCTGAAGGCAAAGCCAACCAGGACATCCACTTCCTGTTTCCCTTCACCTTCAGAGAGCTGAACGTGCTGAGGGGGAAACAGTTCAGTTTGGTGGGACTCCTTCATCACTTCTTTCCTGAAACCAAAGCAGCAGGAATCTGCAGCTCTGCAGA